AACCCACAATATGTACAACAGGTAACTATCAAAAATAGAGGTGAACCCACAATATGTACAACAGGTAACTAACAAAAATAGAGGTGAACCCACAATATGTACAATAGGTAACTATCAAAAATAGAGGTGAACCCACAATATGTACAACAGGTAACTAACAAACATTATATAAATGTAATATGTTAAAGGTTAAAATCTTAACTCGATTAAACTACTGATTATACAGTCTTCATGCAATTATATCATTTTGTAGATAGTCTTCGGTGCTAACTTCTTCTCATTACATGTAATCAGAGAAAAGGTCCTATTTAAAACCTCACTATGGGGTCAAAGGTCATATATTTTTCAGGTCTTTTAAATTTTTCAATATTTTTGAAATACTGTATTTGATAATGATGAGGAAAACTATCACGATTGATTTAATGTTTTCTTCTGTAACATCATTAATGTAATACACCATTTTGATTATTTCCTTCAAACCTTTTGAAATGATGTTTCAAACTGTTTCATTTTGTTTGTTTGTTAAACATATTTAATCCAGTCCTCAAATTTATGTTTGCCCAGACAACCTTCCAAATTGTTGATAACTTTTGACTTGATCCTAATTCCAAGATGGCCTCCATGACATCATATCCATTTTTTTTAGCTCACTTGACCATTATATCAGTACTTTCAGTACTTTGGTTTATGTTATCCTTTTTCTTCATAGCGGGTAAAGACCGTGAGATGTTAAAATAGGTTGGTTCAACAGTCCTAACAATGAAAAGCCCATCAAATTGTTATCGACAATATCTAGTTTGTTTTGTTATCTTTTCCAGAGTTCAGGAATGCATGAAGATGAACTACCAGGAAGTTCAACCAAAGGTCAAGGTTATTGATGGGTTGTAACCAAAGGTCAAGGTTATTGATGAGGTGTAACCAAAGGTCCAGGTTATTGATGGGGTGTAACCAAAGGTCAAGGTTATTGATGAGGTGTAACCAAAGGTCAAGGTTATTGATAGGGTGTAACCAAAGGTCAAGGTTATTGATTGGGTGAATGCTGACTATATGATGTTGATGTGTACATTCACTACACATATTGTTATCAAAGTGCTATAAACAATATATTTATTGTACAGGAGGATGATAAAAAAAAGAAAAACATTTTGATCCATGCAAATTAAAATTCTTATTCTGAATAATGGTTGAGCTTTGAATCAGTTGTAATTAGTCTACAAATCAGTAGATGTGATCGGGAGTCATCGTTGATCTGTGATCGGGAGTCATCGTTGATCTGTGATCGGGATTCATCATTGATCTGTGATCGGGAGTCATCGTTGATCTGTGATCAGGAGTCATCGCTGATCTGTAATCGGGAGTCATCGGTGATGGAGAGTCATCCTTGATCGGTGATGAGTCGTACCAGAAGATAAATCACTGCACTGATCTGTGAACTAGAGAAGTGGTCATTGGGGAATTCTTCTGTTGACAACAACTGATGAGATTTAATTTCTGTTCCCCAAGATTACATGATGGACCGATACAATGTATGACGATACATTGTTGTGGAACTAAGTGATCGTTTTTAGCTCACCTGGCCCTAAGGGCCAAGTGAGCTTATGCCGTGGTGCGGCGTCCGGCGTCAATATTTCTTCTCAATAACCGAAATGCCCAGTGTACTGATATTGGGCCTGTAGCATGCTGGGATGAAGGGCTACCAAGATCATTCAAATGAATGACCTTGACCCACTTTCAAGGTCACAGGGGTCAAATGTCTTAAAATCTTCAAACAACTTCTTCTCAATAACCAAAAGGCCCAGGGTACTGATATTAGGCCTGAAGCATGCTAGGATGAAGGGCTACAAAGTTTGTTCAAATGAATTACCTTGACTAATTTTCAAGGTGACGGGGGTCAAATGTCTTAAAATCTTCCAACAACTTCTTCTCGATAACCAAAAGGCCCAGGGTACTGATATTGGGCCTGTAACATGCTGGGATGAAGGGCTACCAAGTTTGTTCAAATGAATTACCTTCACCCACTTTCAACCTAATGTCCTTGTTCGACATTCAAGGTCACAGGCGTCATTTGTTCAAATCTTTGAATAGGTTCTTATGAATCAAACACTGATATTCTGCCTGTAGATTTAGTTTAGTCCACTTTTCGGATTACAAGTGTGAGATTAATACCAGGTGAGCGATGCAGGCCCATTGGGCCTCTTGTTTTACATATTCTATTGTGATTTACGATTTATGTTAGACTGATAATTCTGTCTTAGCCTTCCTCAATGTTTTACAACATGTTGCATGGAATTTGAAAATTAAAACTTTTCAATGAAACTTTTCTGGATTGAAGTGTTTTACATTAGCCAATATATGAAATATACAAACATGAAATGGACCATGATGGTGAAATATTGAATACAGTTTAACAGACAAGAGCTGAGCCTGAGTTAATTAAGGTGAATAATGACAGCATTGCTTTTATCAATTATTACTCCACCATGTGCCATCATCTCATGTTTGGATTTTCAAATTGTCATTCTTTTGTGATGCTAATATAACTAATTCTAGGTATTATTGCTTTTTCTCAGAAAATATACACATATCCTTGTTGGGTCTATGTTCATAATGTGCAAATTTACATTTGTTTGTGAGTTAGAAGAAAAATATCACCTCAAGGCAGCAATCTTTGATTTTAAGATAGGAAAACAATTTGATTTCCTGGCATTTTCCCTCCAAAAACACCAAAGGTGCTAATGACTTTTATGTAATACTTTCTGAAAATAAGATTATTCCAACTGGTAGGAAGAAATGGGGAGAAATATTTGACATTAGGGACAACAAATGGAAGAAATATCAAATTCCATTTCGCACAACTACTAATACAAAACTCCAGTGGCTCCAAGTAAGAATTCTCCATCATATTTTGACAACAAATATCTATCTATGCAAAGCCGGCCTATCTAATAATCCTTTATGTGTGCCATTGTACAAAATTTCCTATACAGTTTTGAAACATTACTAGAAGCTTTAATTATCCCATTTTCTTTTAATAAGGAATCCTTCCTTTTCTGAATAGTGTCACAGTCAGGAATAGGCAACAGACTAGATAATGAAATTTTAATTATGATCAAACTCTATATTTATAAAACAAGATGCCTTCAAAATACTTTGTCAGTAAATGCTTTAATTAACAGCATAAAAGACCATCATTCTGTACAAGGGGGATAATTTTGTAAGAAAACTGGAAAGAGAATGGAAAAAATGGAACCCCCTCCTGGAATTATAAGCCAATATTAAATCATTTAATATCATCAAGTGAGCAGATACAATACATCTCCTCCCACAGTATTGTTCTCATTTTATATTTTGAATATGCACTGAACATACATGTAGCCAGCACACACTAAGTTTTCACAAGGACTTTTTTCTTTTGGCAGTTATGTCCCTTTTACCATACCTGTATTGAAGCTTGCCTGAACTCCAATTTTGTTTTTGTTCCTTTTTTGTGAATTTAAGTTGATGTTTCTGTCTGAACTTATTAAAGTTAATCTCTTTTATGATATAAATATGTTTTGTCCTGAGTATTACCCTCATATCTCAGCAACCTTTATATGGCTGTATTTACTTGCAGTTTAAAGCCGAAAGCACCTTACTTACAATTAATACAGAAGATTATCTTATAATCTTATTCTAAACATAAAGTTTGTTTATAATTGAGCTGCAGTGCAAAAAACAGTTTCTCCTTTTTCTTCCTCTTTCTGTTGACTTTCTCCGTTTTTCATTGCTATTTTTTTTTCCCTCTTCTTTTTTATTCTCTCTCTCTCTTCTCATAAAGGCAATATATCTGTACATGTGTACCATAACATGTACTTGTGTCGAATATATCAACTGATGTAAGTAAGAGTATATATGAGTCGTGTGAGGTCTGAATATATAATATGAATTGTTTGAATGTAACTATACCATATATTGCAAAAAAATCTTGAATAAGAAGAAAATTACAAAAAAAAAGAGTACATGTAGTCAACAGAGCGAGAGTACATGTAGTCAACAGAGTGAGGGTACATGTAGTCAACAGAGTGAGAGTCCATGTAGTCAACAGAGTAAGAGTACTGTAGTCAACAGAGTAAGAGTACATCGAGTCAACAGAGTAAGAGTACATGTAATCAACAGAGTAAGAGTACATGTAGTCAACAGAGTGAGAGTACAAGTACATGTAGATTCAACAAAGTAAGAGTACATGTAGTCAACAGAGTGAGAGTAAATGAAGTCAACAGAGTGAGAGTACATGTAGATTCAACAGAGTGAGAGTAAATGTAGAGTCAACAGGGTGAGAGTACA